ATGAAGATGAAGATGAAGATGAAGATGACTATGAAGATTTAAATGAAAATGAAGTCGAAGTTAAAGTTGAAGATATTGATAACAAGTACTTTTTAGCAAAAAAAACCGACTCCAAAAAAACATCTATATATCTATATATTTCATGATTCAATAATCGGATCTAAACCAAATTAGTATAGGACCACCTCTGAGGCACTACCAGGTCCAAAGTTATGCGGTAAAAAACATTAAAAAAAAAAAAAAAAAAAATGCTATTTTTCATATCTATTTCAAAGAATTCTGCACATAAAAATTACAAACTAACCAGCAGTATCAGCAAAGCGAATAATTTATACAAATACATAATAAAAGCAGTGTAGAAAGATAGCCACAGCGAATGGCAAATAAGTTCATTGTTATACTTAACTTGTTGTTGTGCTGGGCGACCGTCAAGAGCGTACACACACTGGCACTATCGTCGCCACCCTTGAAATTAAGCAAATGGATACATGTAAATGTACATATGTATCAAAGTACTTGAGCGTCGTCGCGCACAGGCATGACTCAAGCACACCAAGATAAGATAAATTATAAAAATTGTTCTAGTGCAGTTCTTGCTCTTAACTACTTTTATAAATTTGTTTTCGATTTTTTCCAATTTTTTTCTTCTGCGCTCGCGCTCACGTTCTTGCTGTTTTACTTAGTCTTATCAAGCTTGCTATTTGCTTTAGTCAATTACTTACTTTATTTATAAGAGCTTGATTGTTTGTGTGTGCGTGCTTGAACTGCTAGATTTCTTTTTACTTTGGTTTCTGAATGACTTGTTTTTGTGTGCTTAGCTAGCTAGGCGGCACAAACCGCGTCGCGTAAGATAAGAAGACAACTGTTTTGGTAGGTACTTTATTTTGGACACGATTTTAATCACCCGCCAAGCGGCGCGGCTGATGCCGCATGCCTTTTCAACACTTGCTCTGCTNATGAAGATGAAGATGAAGATGACTATGAAGATTTAAATGAAAATGAAGTCGAAGTTAAAGTTGAAGATATTGATAACAAGTACTTTTTAGCAAAAAAAACCGACTCCAAAAAAACATCTATATATCTATATATTTCATGATTCAATAATCGGATCTAAACCAAATTAGTATAGGACCACCTCTGAGGCACTACCAGGTCCAAAGTTATGCGGTAAAAAACATTAAAAAAAAACAAAAAAAAAATGCTATTTTTCATATCTATTTCAAAGAATTCTGCACATAAAAATTACAAACTAACCAGCAGTATCAGCAAAGCGAATAATTTATACAAATACATAATAAAAGCAGTGTAGAAAGATAGCCACAGCGAATGGCAAATAAGTTCATTGTTATACTTAACTTGTTGTTGTGCTGGGCGACCGTCAAGAGCGTACACACACTGGCACTATCGTCGCCACCCTTGAAATTAAGCAAATGGATACATGTAAATGTACATATGTATCAAAGTACTTGAGCGTCGTCGCGCACAGGCATGACTCAAGCACACCAAGATAAGATAAATTATAAAAATTGTTCTAGTGCAGTTCTTGCTATTAACTACTTTTATAAATTTGTTTTCGATTTTTTCCAATTTTTTTCTTCTGCGCTCGCGCTCCCGTTCTTGCTGTTTTACTTAGTCTTATCAAGCTTGCTATTAGCTTTAGTCAATTACTTACTTTATTTATAAGAGCTTGATTGTTTGTGTGTGCGTGCTTGAACTGATAGATTTCTTTTTACTTAGCTCTCTGAATGACTTGTTTTTGTGTGCTTAGCTAGCTAGGCGGCACAAACCGCGTCGCGTAAGATAAGAAGACAACTGTTTTGGTAGGTACTTTATTTTGGACACGATTTTAATCACCCGCCAAGCGGCGCGGCTGATGCCGCATGCCTTTTCAACACTTGCTCTGCTGTGAAGTTAGAGATGTGCCACCCGATAATTGAAGGCGCATGTATTAGTATGTTCGACGGTGTTGTTAGAATTTTCCTCCAGTTCATTGTGCGCAGCAAATTAGCATGCAAGGCAACGAACAGTTAGAGCGGCAGTACTCCATAGTACCAGTAGCAGCGTCACGCTGAGCTAAGCTAAGGGCAGCTTTTAATTTGCCCAAAGCGCGCATAGTTCGTAGCCTTTTGACCTTAGCATTTTAATTTTATAGTTTGTTCAAGCGCGTAACTGACAGTTAATAAAAAGAAGAAGCTATGAGTGCCCGCTCGTTTCCTTACCCTTCACGCGCGCACACACATACCCAAGCGCAATCATAAAAATTACTCCGCTAGCTTATGAAAGCCATAGCGCTCAGCTCGTCGCATTACAAATTCTTTACCACATTCTATACCCCCATTTTTGCTGCATGTCGCGAAAGTAGTTAGCCCTCTGTGTATTGTCTTTAAATATTTAATTTTTTTCTTTTCCACTACTTTCTTGTTACCTTCAACAATGTTTTTGGTATTGTTTGGAAAGTGGAAGACATGATTTTATGCTATTTAGATACTGAAAGCGCGGCGCGCGAAATTCTTTAACTTCACTATATTAGCGCAGCGGCAGCAGCAGCACGCACCAATCAACAAGAGCGGCCACAAACAACAACAGTAGTTCCCACATGCGCGCATTAACCCGCATGACATCGCGCGGCCCAGAAAGAACACAAAGAACACCTTAAACTGCATGCACTCCGCTGTCCGCTCATAGCCCCACTTTACGCTTACAGGCCCCACCGCGCGCTGGTCGCATATTTTTTTTTTTTGTGTACGCGTTGCTGCTGCTCACTTGCACCTGAAGAAGCACTTCTGAATTATGTGTGTATACGTTGTGTGTACATTAGGGTGCATCACAAACAAACAAAAAAAAAATCGGGGCTTCCACCGGAATTCTAAAACTAAGGTATTATATTTTAAGACTTCCGCATAAAAAGTTTCCGGAAAATAGTAAGTCTTACGTGAGCTTGACCGATTTGAAAATATCTCCATTTTTATTTTTTATTTATTTTTTTTATTCAAATATTGTAAACTTAAGCTCTTCTATCATCTGAGTTGGTTTTTTAGAAAAAATGCCTTAAAAAAGTACTTTTTTTTAAAACACAATTTTTGGAGTTACATATTTTCAATTAGTTTCAGCTCATGTAAATGTTAATATTTTTTTCGAAATATTTATTTATATAATAAGTTTTATATTTGCGTTGGAAAAACAGTATCGATTTATTTATGTATAGAGAGTGCTGCACCCTAATGCACATACTTGTGTATATTGCTATACTATATTTATAGTTTTAGTTTGCCACAGTGCATGTTGGAGAAAAATTATGGCATACCATAGCCGCCCCACCGTTGTTGGCAATCTTATTAATGCTTGCCTGAACTTTTGAAAAGTGCGCGCCCGCTAAATTTAGCACAAGTAGCTGGGGGAAAATGGGCAAATAATAAATAAGTGGAAGTTCAGTTTTAGATTTAGATTGCAAATATGCACTTGCACGTTTGGCATTTTTAATTTATTTTCTAGAAGCTTTTTTTTTAACCTTTTTAAATTGAAAATTTCAAAGTTTTTTTACTTTTACGCTATTTTCTTGTACCTACAGGTACTTTTCTTAATGTCTTGTTTTTTGATTTCAAAATTTTAATCTTATTTTTCTTCCTGCAATACTCCATTTCGCCATACTCCTTTTCTTCTAGACGCAGTTCTTTTGTTTACTAGGTACCTGGTTTTTTGTTTGCTCTAATTTCCACTTCGCTTATGCTTTGTGTGCTTTCATTTTGCAGCGAAACTATGTACATACATACATATCTATACATATAAACAATTGAAAGAATTTAATTTTTTCTTTTATTGCACTTGTACTATTGCCATCTTTGTATGGGCGCAGTTGTGTGCAAGAAATTAGCAGTGGCAATGACAATGCCGTTTATTACCGTTGTTTTTGATTAAAATATCAATAAGTTATCCACATCGATTTGCCGATAAACCGATAAATTTTATTACTAATACATTTCGTTACTTTCATATATTTCTTGATTTTGTTATCGATATATTTGTTAGGTATTATTTTCGATAAACCAATTTAAACATATCTTTATTGATATATATACTTATCGATGGCATTGTCGTTGTATGTTAGTTTGTTTCCATTTATGGAACCTAACTTAATTATTTCCTATCTATTTAATATCCGTTTTTGTAGGCTCTTAGATTCCTATACTATCGTGGCCGATGTTTGTATCAAGCTGCTTATCGACTGCCGATAAATTTTGTATATTTTTATCGATATTATTTTTGATATTTTAATCGACAAGTGCTCATCAGCGATATTATTGATAGCTTTTGTTATCGTTATCAATTTTTATTCTATAGATATGTATTGGACTTTACGATATATTTGTCACAACAATATCATTCGATTAAAGGCGTTTTCGTTTCTACCAAAAAAGGTTACCTTATCATTGCCCTCTAAGCACAAACACTAATAACCGGGCAACAAAAGGCAACATTTTTTGTAGAAACGAAAACGTCATAAGACATGACATGAGGCATTTTGCATCAAAAACATATCGATAAATTTTCATATATATATATTTTTTCGCAACTACTTATAAATATTTCGATACTGTTATCGATAAATAAATTTTTTTTTTTATGAATCCCTTTTAAATAAGGCATCACATGAGGCAAGACAAATACCTTATATAAATATTTTGGCATATTCTTATTGATATAGCTTTGGTGTTATTATCAATAAAGTTTTCGATATTGTTATCGATACATTTTTCGGTATTGTTATCGATAAATATATTTTTTCAATATCATTCCCATAAAGACGCCTGCCAATTTTTTTTTCAGATCTTGTATGTCTCCGAAATAAAGGTGTTTATCCAAAGTGAACGATCCAGAGTTCCAAAATGAATGTCTCAAAAAAATTTTTTTAATAAGCGAATGCAAATTGCAAGTATTTATTCTATGTTTGGCCAGTTCGATTATGGTCATAGTTCCTACTCTTCAATCATCAAATATTTCTAATTAAAATGTATAGGCATGCAGATACTTTCAAGCCTCTGCACAGAACTAAATGTTATGGAATTATGTTTTGATTGACTTCAAGTATAGTTACTAGTTTTTGGAGAATGCTGCTGAAAGGACAATCCTTGACCGAGCTTTTCTGCATTGCTCTATTAATGCCTAGACCCAATTGTAATTTTCGGCTATTATATTTTTTTACCTTCAAGTTCGTAGCTTTGGGACGATATTCCCTTTCAAAACTGTAATCAAAAAATCTATCAAAAAATTTTTCGCTTGTATGAACATTTAGCTGACTGTTCTTCTCAAAATTTTGATGTCAAGTTTTAGCTATAATTAAAGACCTACTTATGCTATTTTAATAAACTCAACTGCATACATACTACATATAGATTTACAGGTAGGTAATGTCTGTGTGTGGCTTATCATGCATACTAAAACTCTGCACTCAATACATTTGCACTTAAGAAATTTTGACTCGCATTTTTACTGATTGGAAATACATATGTATATGTATGTATGTTTGTATGTACATATCTGCATAGGTGTGTATAAGTATGTACGTACATAAGTAATTTTCATGCATATTCTTAATATACAAAACTACAGCATGTAGCATGAAAAGCAAATATCTAGAACTTGAGAAATTTTCAATGTTTCATATGTGTTTCAAAGAATTTCTTATTGCGCTATTTTTCGTGGGAAGTTCACTGATTGAACTTTCAGCAAGCAGAAGTTTTATTCTCGCATGTATTTGTTTGAATTGGATATTTAATTAACCTCTTCTTTGTTGGCGTTGTACTTAATTGCATGTCTAAATAGTTTTTGGGCTAGTGAGTTCAATCAAGTGAAATTCTTCGCATACTTTGTTTATATTTCAAGACAAGCAGAGGTGTCGACAGCCGATTAAATTGAAAATAATTTACACTTTAATTCAAGTATTTTTTTTTTTTTTAAATTATTAAACGCATTTCAAGAATTACTAAAGAGAACTGCAAGTAAAACGACTCTAGTCGAGAATTCACTGTAAATCATATTTGATAGTATTCCTTTCCAGCAAAGGTATCTTACTTGTATTTTCCCTAAAAACGTTTAGAAAACTACTCTACTCTACAAAAAATCTTTAGACTTGCCTTTAAAAAGTAGATCCCGATTATCTCTCACGAATTATAATTCGAACGGAATTTCATTTTAGAAGACTATCGCCGTGACTAAGTTGTTGTTGTTGTTGTTGTTGTTATTGTAGTTACATAACTCTTCTCGAAACAACTAATCTATGAACTGTTGTTCCCAAGCTCAACTCAACTTCACAGTTCAAGTTATGTATATTTTAAGGGGAANTGACTAAGTTGTTGTTGTTGTTGTTGTTGTTATTGTAGTTACATAACTCTCCTCGAAACAACTAATCTATGAACTGTTGTTCCCAAGCTCAACTCAACTTCACAGTTCAAGTTATGTATATTTTAAGGGGATGATTAGGATATGGTTAATATTAGGGGTTCTTTCACACGTAGAGCAAGAGGTTTACCTATGTCGGGGTCTAATCAGAATTAGTAAGACTTTAACTTGCTACTCTTACACTTCAACTCCACTTGGGGCGATTTCGTGAATATGATGATTGTCTGCGAGTTTGTTTTGTTGATGGGCTGTCTGTTCATCGTCGGCTTCAATAGTGGTTAAATAAGGTGCTTATTCCCATTCGCAAGTTCCGATATATGCGTTTTGATTTATCTATCGAGTTATTTTGCTTCAAAATCATGCAATCATCCAAACTCCCAGCGGTAGCAGCCGTCCAGAAATGGTTAGTTAGGTTTTAGATAATTCGCGCTTTCACGGATTATTTATGCTCCACTATGCAAGTAATCCTCAGGCGCTAACAGAAGACAAACTGCGATGTTGTAAAGCATCTTAAGCTTCGTCCACCGTCTACCCCTAGTAACCAGTGACCATAGATTAAAACATTCGCACGAATTTCGGTTCTACGTTCCGTCACCATTCAGGGACTTTCGCCGATCTAAGGCTGTTGTTTTGCAGTTCCAAACCTTTGTAGATCGTTGAACCTTTTCAATCTCTCGCCCTACCTAGATACATTTGAATTGAAATACATGAAATCTTGTCGGCGCTCTGGACTATAACTTTGTTCCCAAAAAATTGAGCTTTGCTGCAAAAAAAAATATATATATTTGGTTCGACAAATTTCTCTTATTTACTTTTGCATGAAAAATTATTTTATTATTTTAATGTATTTTAAAACGGAAGTTACATTTTCAATGCTAGTTTAATTTTGTCTGTACTGTTTTTGCTTTATTTTATTTATCTATCATTTTAAATAAGTATTTTTTGATTGATTACATGTTTTTATTTTACTTACATATTTTAAATTTTTAGTATTTTTTATTATATTATATTTGTTCTTAATTCTTTTGTTTTTATGCAATTTATTATTATGGTTTTAATTTCTAGTTTTTTACTATATTTTTATTTTTGATTATCCCTAGTTTAGTATTTAATTTTTTATTTTTATTCTTTATTTTATTATGTATTTGATATATATATATATATATATATATCTTTTTTTTTATTTTTTTAATCCCTTTTTTGTTTTTTTGTTTTTTTTCATTTTTATTTTACAATATTTTGTTTTTAATCATTTACAAATTTCCTTGAAGTTTTGATTACTTATCATTCAACTTCGCTGCCCTTTTATATTGAAGTTTGTATCGCACATTTGATATACTTTTTCATCGTAAAAACATGTAACTAAATCTAATTGAGATGCATAAAAAAATATTTAAAAAAACTTGTATGTCAAATTGCAATTTTATTATGTGTTTTTGATTAAATTTCACTTTTTCATTCCGAAAATAGTTTTTGGCAGCCATAATTTCAAAACGCACACATTTTCTTACCTTACTTAGCGCAATGCGCTTTACCTTCGCAAATTTAAAAATAATTTTCATAAAAAACGAAAGCGAAAGTACAATTAAAAATAAGTAAGTACGCCAAAATTTGATTTTCTAGCTTTTAGCACGTACTTGGCCATATTTATCTACTACAAACAAATTGCAGCAGAAGAATCTAACAAAAATGAACACAATTTGAAAAAAAAACTACAAAACTGAGTCACAGAAAAAGCTACAAAAAAACGCAAATGTTTTAATCTTGCCAACAACTAATCACACAGAACAAACAAAAATGAGAAAAAAACGCAAACGGATTAGAAAAAATTGTAGATATTTTAGTATTTTATTGATTCGGCGCAAAGCTAAAGTTATTT